CCTCAACAGAGATATACACTTTCCAATATAAAGGATTCCCGTGGAAACCCTTCAATTTCAAAAAAATAATTCGGATTTAAAAATTTGGTAAATTCCCCAATTTGGGGGGGAACAACAATTGTGTTTTAGAGGCGGTTTCGGCCCACTCATGATAATTTTCCAAATTAATTTCAGCCTTGTTTATGAAATGTTCTTTCTTATACGAGGACCATTTTTTGAAGACCTTCCGGACCCCTAGGAAGCATAACTTTTTAAGAGAAGCATTGTTAGACTTGAAGGTAACATTCCAAATAGCCAGGAAGTATATGTTGACGAAATTATGATGCTTCAGTATTTCTCCCCACAAGTATTGATGAGGTAGACAAAATATAGCTTTCAGTAATAGACTTCATTCTGAACCTAGATCAAACAATTATGCTGCACCAATTACTCAGAGCCTCCAAACATCAATTTGCAACTTCAGCAGAAATTGCGAATACCATGGGTGGTGGAGCCGGTAACAGAACCGTCTATATTGGTAATATCAACCCTAGATCAAAAGCAGAAGATATTTGTAATGTAGTCAGAGGGGGTACTTTGCAACAGATTAAATTTTTTAAGGAGAAGGGTATTTGCTTTGTAACTTTTATAGAAGCCGCTTCTGCCGCTCAGTTCTATGCAAATTCATTCATTGATCCTATTATTCTTCATAACAACACTTTGAGAGTTGGCTGGGGTGATCACTCCGGCCCACTTCCAAAATCCATATCATTAGCTGTTACTGTTGGTGCCAGTAGAAACGTATACGTCAGTTTACCTGAATATGCATTTAAAGATAAATTTATTAATGATCCAGAGTATAAAGAATACCATAATAAATATGTGTTACCCACTGAAGAAGAATTAAGAAAGGATTTTTCATACTTTGGTGAAATGGAACAGGTAAACTTTTTAAATGATGGTCACTGTTGTTGGATTAATTTTATGAACATTCGTTCTGCTATAAAGTTAGTTGAATCTGTCAACAGTTCAAATGGTGGCAAGACATTTCATGAAAGATATGCTAATAGATACAAGGGTCTTATTATTGGATACGGTAAAGATCGTTGCGGTAATGTAAACAAGAGTTTGATATCTGGTAAAAATTCTAAATTCTACAGAAAAGTTAAAAAGCCATCATATAACATCAGGCTTCAACAACTCGAAGAAGAGAGGAAGCAAGAAGAAAAAAATAAAATATCGAACAAAAGTATTAACTTAAACTCATTTGGTATTCAAGTTGAAACACCATCTCAAAATGAATCTGAACAAGAGGAACCTAAAATTTCTCTAGATGGCCTGGGGATGTCACTAAGTAAACCAAATTCTGAAAATCATGATTTGAAAGAAACTGATGATTCAGATTCAGATATTTCCACAGATATAGAATTAATTATCGACCCACCAGTGAGGGAAAATACAAAGGGTAATAAGAATAAGAAACAAAACCACAGGAAAAACGATATGAACAATAATCTAAACTTTGGTAACCCACCACCGGTATCGAAAACATTATTAGAATCATCTCCACCATTAGCACCTGCTACTTTATCTCGCGACTTCCAGAAGTCAAGCAAGCAACTATCTTCTGATCTCACTAACCTAAGTACCATGGACCAAAACGATATGTCAGAAAATGATTCAAACACATCAAGTAAAAACGCTTCTCATAAAAGGAGTAGCAAGAAGAATAAGAAGTTATTACCAGGTTCAGATGTCATGTCTCAATATTTAGCACAATTACAACATTCAACATTCATGTATGCGGCTAATATCTTGGGGGCTTCTTCAGATGAACCTGAATTCTATGATGAAAATGTAATTAATGCTGGCAATTCCTAATTAAATTTTTACAAATATTTAAAGCTCCACTGAAATTAATCCAAACAATGAACAATAAAACAAGAACAATATAGAACAAGACAAAGAATATGATAGAACAATCAATACATGCTATCATGTATATGTATATAAATCGATTTTTATATAAAAAGAAATATTAATGTAGAAATACTATTAAACTACTATAATATGAAGTAAATGAACTACTCTTATATTATTTACGTTTGTATTTACTTAACTTTAGTAATCATATCCTTTATTTTATTAATGTCATCAGGCGTAGTTCTACAACAGCCACCAACGATTCTGACATTACTTGTTCTTAGTTCTTTAATCAAATCTTCCCATGTTAACCCAAATGTCTGATCAATTGTCCATTTTTTGGTAAGTGGATCATATATTTCACCACTGTTAGGATATACAATTAAAGGTAATGTAGGAATGGCTTGATGTAATTTTGAAATATTTTCTGATGCATACTTAAAGGAAATACAATTGGCGCCAGTAAGGATCAAATTATCATTATTGGAGTATTTTTTGAAGATGGTGGCTATCTCTTCAAATGATGTCCCATCTCTCAATCCACCATTGTCTAATAATGAAAGGCTGACATAGTATGGCTTGGAGATGACTGATTTGTCCCATGACAAAATTGCTTCTAATTCGTACTTATTAGGCACGGTTTCAAATCCAATGATATCAATATCATCATTATTATTGAATTCTTCTAATTGTGGTTTAAAATATTCCAAGTAATTAATGTTACTTGGAGAGTCACCATAATTGCCTGTGTATTCTGCACCTAAACGAGCACCAAAAGGACCAATTGACCCAATTAGATAATTATCCTCACCAATAGCAGATCTACAAAATGAAGTTATATTTCTAATAAGTTGTTTATATCCTTCAATTGTTTTCACTTCAGTATGTGTAGAGATTAAAGCAAAACTGGTTTGATACGTGATAGTAGATAAAATTCTTGATCCACTAGTGATATAATCTCTATATATCCCTTCTATAATATTTCTATCTGAAGTTTTAGTTTCAGAATCCCAGAAATCATCTTTTAGAAACGGTACTGTTGACCACAATGGACTAGATACATTAATACCTCTGCTTTCTAATAAAGTCCCTAAACCCCCATCTGAAACTAGAACTTCATCAGGTTGGTTTCTTATTAATTCTTCAATAGGCACTCTCATCTAATAGATAATATAATGAATGTAGTTTCCTATTCAAGAAGATGTATTAGCTTAATACCCAATCTTTAATTTCAGTCAATTGAATACTTTTCTTTGATCAAATGAGTTTAATTGAGAGTGTGATTTAATAGATACTTTAATGCGTGGATATGCTATAAGAACGGGCCATAAAAAACAGGGCATTGTTAAAGATTGAAAGTTGATATAAACTGCCAATATCATTTTACACTTGAATTATATAAATTAATGTCACTTTTGAATGTAGAATAATTCCAAAGAACTAGCAAGCCTTTAGTGATGAGATAAAATGAATAAGATTACTAAAATTTTAAGGTTGACAATAGTTATGGATCAAGAAGGAAGAAAAAACAAAACACTATTAATTTAGAGACTGATCTAAATAAACATACGAACTATTTAATCGACTTTGTAAAATTTTAATAAGAAGTTTATATCTATTTACATATTTTATTTCACTTTAAGTGAAATATTCGTCATTGGATGATGAATATATCCATCAAATTACATCATATGAAGTATAATCATGTTTACCTCCTTTGTAGAGTAAGATAATTCAGTAAGATGTTGTCACCCCAGTGACTTCAGGTCTGATCCACTCTTTTTTTAATACATCCCATGTTAATTTTGCAATTTTTGATGCAGCTATAGGATCTTTTGAATGTCCTTCGATATATAGCTTCAATTTTGGTTCGGTACCAGAACCTCTCATCGTAAACCTTACAATGGAATCTGACTTTTGATATTCATCATCACAAATTTTGGCAGTTATCGTAATCATTTGTGAACTAGGGTCAACTGGAAGTGAAGGGATGTTATCAACTGTGTCTGACTGGAAACCGGTCGTTAAATCTCTGAATGAACATACTTCTAATAAAGTTCCAATCATTTTCGGATATTGATTACCATTTTTAGGATATTCATTCCTAATATAATGAAATATATCATTAGTCACTTGAGGATTACTTACAACATAGTATCCATTATATTCTTTGAATGCTCCATATTTTTCTATACCTTGTTCAAGAATATCAATAACTGTCACTTTAGATAAATTGTCCCACTCAAAATAAGCTTGAAGGAATACTACACTAGCAGTGATACCATCTTTATCATGTTCCATAGCGGGAAACATGTACCCTATGGCTTCTTCATATCCAAATACTACATGATAACCCTCCTTCTTTAAGTCAATAGCCTTGTTACCAATCCATTTAAACCCAGTTAATGTATCTATAAACTTAAAATTCTCAGTGTCAGCCATTGACTTAAGCATTCGGGATGACACTGTAGAATTTAACATCGCTAATGGATGGTTCTTTTTGAATTCAGGATCCATATTAGTGTATTTGTTAAATAGATAGTAACCGAACAAAAACCCAATCTCATTACCTGTCAATTGTTGCCATTCTCCAGAGTGTGAATTATAAATTGCAGCTGAAAATCTATCAGCATCTGGATCATTGGCAATGACCAAAGAGATATCATTCTCCTTTGCCAAAGCAATTGCCATATCCAATGCACCTTTTTCCTCTGGATTTGGGAAACTAATAGTAGGGAAAGCAGGATCTGGGACAATCTGTTCCTTAACAGTCAAGTAATCCCTATTTTCTTTCAAATTCACCTTCTCCAATACAAGAGAAGTAAATATTTCATAACCGACCCCATGCATCGGAGTATAAACAAACCATGGTTTTCTATGTTCATCAAACTCCCTTATTGTTTTTTTATCAATTATATTGTTATCAACTTTATCAGAATAAGCTAATAACATTTCATTCCTCAAATATATTAACTTTTTATTGGATAAACCTGCTTCAATAGCTTTCGAGGAGTCCCAGGAGTTCGACCATGGTTCCAAGTTTTCATCAATACATTTTGCAATTGAAGCATCTACTGGAGGTATTATCTGACACCCATTCGAATAGTATACTTTGTAGCCATTATCCATCTTAGGATTGTGACTGGCAGTAATCATAACACCTACAGATGCACCAATTTGATCTACTGTGAAGGGCACCAATGGCGTATGAACAAAAGTACCTGGTGGATTCAAATTATAAACAGTAAATCCAGCACTTAGGAAGACAGAAGTAGCAATTTCGGCAAATTCCTTTGAATGGTACCTGTGATCATGCCCAATGACAGCTTTAAGATTACTTGGAAATTGCTGTTTGATATAAGTTGCTAAACCTTGAGTAGCTTGAAGCACAACCAGGGTATTCATACGGCTAAAACCAGCCTCCATTTTAGATCTTAAACCAGCAGTACCAAATAGTATTCTATTATCAAACCGTTTATGTAGTTCGTTCAAACTATTGGCCTTACATAATCTTATAACCTCATTGATAGTCTCAGGGTTCTTATCTTGTGCAAGCCAAGTTCCAACTTTGTCCCTTAAATCAACAGGTAACGTTTCGAGAACAGAATCAAACTCAGAATTCGAGGAAACCATCTCAAATCAAACTTCTAGCAATATAGTTATTAGAGATCTTGTATGGAAATCAACAGATCTTACCGTTCTTACATTCAACTATCTCATCTTTTAACCTTTATAAAGTTCATTTGATATAATCTCTACCATTTTCAAACCCGGCTTTAAACTTAATTAGCTTTAACTAACTTTATCACTAATGGATCGTCAAAAGGTAACAAAATTATAGTTAATATTATATAATTATATATCATGCATTATGCAGTATGCCATTAATAGTATTACAACGTATATAGAAAAGTATAATTATGATGAAATTGGTTCATTTTAATTATCTTTGATAGATCATTCATAATAACTTGAAAGAGTATGACTATTGGAAAACAACAACATAGAAGCTATCATGGAGTTCAAAAACCTACATTGCAGCATCTATACAGATATATGCATATTACTGTTTTGTAGCACCCACATGTAATTAGACTTCATGTATGTTTCTTACCACAATTATATTTACAAAAATGGCAAATGTAGTTGCAATGCCAATTACTCTTCATCGTCATCACTATCATCTAATGCATTCAATATCTCTTCTTCTAGTTCTGAATCACTCTCTTCATCTTTCGGCTGACTAGTTTTATCCTCCGAGAGTTGATCATCTTGACCTTCATCTTGACCTTCATTTTGTCCTTCATCTTCTTCAGCAATGTGTACCTTTTTATTGCTACCATCCTCATCAGTAAATTCATTCGATTCTAGAGGGTGTTTTTTCACCGTTTGAAGATCATTGTTATCGTCAGCAAATTCATCATATTCTGGTTCTTTGCTCTCCTCTTCTTCAGAATCAATAATTTCATCATCATCATCATCGATCAACCATGAAGCACCACTGGCAAATAAGTCCACAGATGCACCTTGGGAGCTTGGTGAATTAGAATCACCTTCTAAACTCTCTTCAGAAACAGTTATCTTAGTTTTAGTTTCTTTCTTCTTTCTCCTTTCAAGCGCTTCTTTAAACTCATTTAGTTCTTTATCTGTAGCTGTTGGAATAATATTGTATTCATATGGAAATTCTGGCATATATTTCCAATTTAACAGACACTCAAAGACCCAGTCAGGATGAAGAACCTTGATGTCAGATTTAAAAGCTTTTGCTATCTTAGCTTTGTATGTATGTGGTGTCTTTGTTATCACATGTGTTGTGTCTTCAGTGATATCTGCAGAAGATTGAGCTCCAAACATATTTGTCCAGAGTACGATATCTGCTTTTTGAATATTAGTCCCCAATGGGATTAAACCAGAAAATACAAAATTGCAACCTTCAAGCACTTTCTTCTTCAATTTAGGCATCAAAGTTTGTATTTGTATTTCTTTATCAGTTTTCAATTCTTCATAGTATTTTTGTTGAACATTTTTTAGAATGTCTTTTAAATAAAATAACTCATCATCATCATCAGTCAGCAATTGTTGATTATGCATATGCTTTTGCAATTCTGCTAAAGGTCTATTTTGTTGTTGAACTTCCAAAGATGCAGAAAATTCAATTTTTTTGGTTATATCCTCTTTTCTTACCTGTGAAGAGATTTCTTCACCTAAAGCCGCTGACTGATGACTCAAATTCTCTTCTTGACGTTTAACCTCTTCATCTATCTTTTCTTGAAGCTTCTTTTCAGTATCCATAATGTCTGTCAAAAGCTCATCTGTGTCTTCAGTTTTTTTATGGTTCCTTCTTCCCAATTGTAACATAGTAGTTTGTTGTCTTGGTAGAAAGTTGGAATTAATATCACCAATACCAACGAAGAAGTTGTATGGTGTGACTTTGATTAAATTTGGACACCAGTTCCATACATCACCTCTATCATCAATGACAACCACCATTGATTGATCTGTCGGAAATAATCTTTCCAATGACTTATGTGTCAAAGAACCATTTTCATTACGGGATAAAATACGATCAGCGAAAAGAGTACCATCTGGATCAATAATTTTAGCGATTTCTTGGGCATAGGATCTGGTTGCCATTGTATAAATGTGCATTTCATACAATTTTGAAACCTCTTCAAAAAACTCTTTCAAACCAGGTCTTATTTTAACATAGTACCAACATTTATGAGTTGGAGGCTTTGGCCCCATGTACATTGGAGGCAAGATTGGTTCTTCTTCTAATACAAATGATTTCACATCTCTTAAAGTTTCAAAATTTGGATTTGTGGGGTCATTTTTCCATTCGGCAATAGTTGGATCAACACCACAATGAATCACAGTTTGATCTAAATCTACCACAAGGATCAGTTTTTTCTCTCTAATTAAACGTTTCTTGATACCCTGTCCGATATCATTAGCTTCCCTTCTACTAACTTTCAAATTAGTATCGGTATGAGAAATAGTCAGATTCGCACTAACTTGATCACTCTCATCAACCTCTTTACCACACATGGTACAAATACCTGCGTAAACGATATCATGGTTGCAAGGCCTTACTATCTCACAAATTGTCTGATTTGGCTCAACAATTTCATCACCTACGTCGACATTCCAACTAACTAAATCACCTTCAAATGGAGAATCAAAAAATTCAATCGATTCCCTAATACTTTTCTTTGAATGCTCATCATTGACACCATCGTCGTTTTCATCAGGAGATTTGGCTATCTCGACAATATACCAAAACTTATACGCAAATAAACGCTGTCCCTTCTCTACATGACTACCGATCGAAGCTATAAGTTTCGAGATTGTAATTGGATATGGCAAACCCAAAGGTGCGCTAACTGGAGTACTCATGTTTGCCAAGAATCAAATCAAGTTAAACCCAAACCAAAAAATATCAACCAAAAACAAAAAAAAAACACACCAAACTTATACCAGAAAACAAAACAAAAATAGATTCCAATAACAATTATAACTACACACCACCAATTCCCTAAAACAAAACCTCAAATACTTCTTATGTATATCAAAACTCTTCGAAATTAGTTTGCTTCTAAACAATGGATTTAGCAATTTCTTGAACAAATAATTCCCAATGGATCCACTTTTAAACCAAAATTTAGCACAAATAGAAATAAACCAACAAAGCACAAACCTAACGAAGTCAATTCTCTCGACAAATATACCTGCTAATGTATGTCTTGACCTTCAAAACCATGTTTCCCATTGTTAAACAACACTTCATCATCTTCCTTTTATATATAAGGCCTTATATATATATATTTTTTCCATATCTTTTTTTTTTTCAGTTTGATGTCAGCACAGGAATTAACCCTTTAACAACCAGTTTGAAGAAATTTGGTAACGAATGGGTGCAGGGAAGAGGGCAAGGTTTGGAAGGTTATCTGTTATAGTTGGGATACCATGTATTGGTGGGATGAGGGTGGTTAATATTACATTGATGAGTTAGATCTATGGATTGATTAATTAGTTGTAAGTTATATACAATACGTGTTTTGTTTCGCGGTGATGGAATTATTTGTTATTGATTCGAAAAAAGATGAGGTCACGTGGTGAATTGATGGATGATTCAGGTAGAATTCACATCCATTGTTCAATCGAGAATGGGTTTGGGTTCAGATCCAGGTTCAGCTGTCGTTAGAGGTTCTACATTTTCTATCGATTGGCCATTATCAGCTTCAACTTCCTCTTTCTCTGGTTCTTGCGCTTGCTGTAGTGTAGTGTCAGTTGTACTTGAAGCAGTAGGTTCGTTGATATCACTGTTGACCTGAGGTTCTTCTGGATTTGAAATTACTGGCTCTTTGTCCTTTGTGGTATCTGTACTGCTTCCAATGCCATTGCTCTCAGTGGTTTCAGGTTCTTTTACTGTTTGTTCGGAATTCTCAATAGCCGGAGCTGTTTCTGTCTTTTCGACGGTTTCTTTCTCATTGTCTTGAGCTGTTTTAGCGTCGTCAGAATTATTATTTTGTATCGTTTCAACTTTTTCTGTAGCAGCAGTATTTGCATCAGTGTGAATTTTATTCTCTTCAGTAGGTATATCTTTCACACTGTCTGTAGTGTCATTTTCAAGTTCCTTCCCAGCTTTTATGGCTTCATTTTCATTTTCATTTTCATTTTCGTTTGCATTTTTAACGCTATCAGCTTGGGTTTCATTCGAAGACACCCCGCTGTTATTTCTGGTATAACTACTTAGTCTTGGTTGTATAATCAATTCTCTTTCTTCATCACTACTTTCTAATGCAGCGAAAAATCCACCGTGTGAATCATTCGGATAGTTGGATAAATCCAAGAGATTGAAATCTGATGATTTTTTTGCTTCCATTTCTTTTAGTTTCTCTTCTTTCAATGCTTTTATCTCAGCCAGCCTACGCTCTTTTTCTTCTTCTGCCCTTTCCCTGGCTTCTTTCCTTTCCTGTTGTGTTTTCGGTATGCTATGGATAAAATTTAATAAGGACCTCTTCAAATATTTTCGTATTTCTGTATTTGCTACACTTTTGGATACTTTATTATCGTTATTTGCTGAAATTAAGCGTGATATCTTTAAAAATGGGTTCCTTTGTATCTGTAATTGTCTCTCTTCATAGCCTAGGACTTTCTTCCTTTCTATTTCTACTCGAGTTCGTGCATATTCTTCAACATTCAAAGAATTTTGTATTGGTTCCTTTTCAAAGAATGAAGTCAGGTGCTTATTCCTCAAAGTAATGGCACTATAAGTTGCCAATGTTTCTTCAGTTGCTAATTCCATCTCAGATGAAGAAAACTTCAAATCTCTGCTGATTCGATCCTCTTGTCCACCTCTTAATAAATTCAACAATGCCTTCTCCGACTGCTTACCTTCTTCGACCACCTTCCGCCTTATAATAGTTTCATCAGTTATGGGTGTATTGTATTGGGGAGTAAATTTATAAGTATAATCTGGTGGGAAATCAGGCAACCAACTTGGTATAAGTTTCTGCAATGGGTTCGATATAGGAACTAGTTTCGAAGTTTGTGCAGTAGACGTATCTTTATGCGTTAAATCTAATTTTTGATACGTCGATAAGGTCCTGGTCGTAGTTGTAGCAATCTTAGTTAAAGATTCATAATCTTTATCATACAATTTTGATAAATATTGAGACTTTTGATTCTGCTCTTCCAAATCTTCTGGAGTTAAATTGAAACCTCTTAACCAAACCGATATATCTGCTTTAGCAACAGTGTTACGCCTTTGCAAAGAACTTAACCTATGTAGTTCCAATACCATATCATCTATTTGACCAACAACTAATGACATCAAATGCTCAAACGCGAACTTCGTAATACTGGTATCACAATTCATCGATTTCAATTGCAAAGCAACTGCTTTAGCCAATATTTTCTCTATTGCTGGCTCAGTCTCTTCATATTTATATTCCGTTAACGTTGGTAATTCAGTTAATTGAATATACTTCGTAGCCTCCCCCGTCATTATCCAATTATCAACACAGAACTACACAATAAAAACAATACGGTCCTCTATCACCAAAGATATCTAAGTCAATCAGTCTCCTTGACCAACGTTGTTCTCTTTATTTATAATTCTTTTAACTGATATCCATCAATATTTATTTCATTATCTTTCAGGTATTGAATTTTTATTGAAGAGACCGGAATTATTAAGAGAGCTGAAAAATCTTGTGATTTAAGCTGGAACGAACAAAGAGGTAAAGAGAAAGAGTGAGATGAAAGAAGTTAAGAGTTGACAAGAGACGGATCAGATACTGATCTTATTAGTTTCAAGAAGATGTAGAGGGGGGAATTAAATTTAAGTATGAAAGTTATCATTTACACATAACTATATAATGGAAAATCATACATCGTTACTTAGTAAAGCATCTAATGCGCCTTGGACTGAACCACCACTACGTCTTAGAGCAGCGACGTTTCTATCGAAATCGAAGAATCCCATATCATTTAGTTGTCTCAGTTGAGATTCGTAGCGTTCTTCAGGTGGTCTATTATCTTGTTCTTGCTGTTGTTGTTGTGGAGGTTGGAACATGGATGCAAACAAAGAAGGGTCAAAAGCTGGGGTTCCGGTGGCACCGGCTGCACCAGTGGCACCGGCACCAGCAGCAGCAGCAGCGTTATTATTCATCATTGCTGCAAATGGGTTCATGGCTGGGTTAAATAGAGATGCAAATGGGTTTTGTTGACCGGCAGCAGCGGCACCTGTAGCAGCAGGAGTAGATGTTGTCTCTGTGTTTGTTTCAGCAGCTGCAGTTGTATCAGTTTCACCAGGAGCAGGGAATGAAGATGCAGCCGCGTTTGCTCCAAACTGACCATTACCACCCATCATATTGGCCATCTGCATGCTTTGTCTGATCATTTCTGGGTTAGTCAACATTTGTCTGAAAAAAGGGCTCTGGAACATTTGTCTGGCTTCTGGACCCATTGCTTGTAATTGTGGGTTCGATTGAATCATGAAATCGATCATTTGAGGATTGCTTAACATTTCATTCATTTGTGATTGAAATACCGGGTTTTCTAACATTCTCAACATGTCATCTTGATTTGGCATACTATTCATACCACCATCTGGGCCGAACATGTCAGCAGAAGGCAAATTTAAACCATAACCGGCATAACGAGCACTAGTTAAATCAGATAGTGGATTGAACCCACCTGATTGACCGGCAGCGATATTTGAAGGTAATGGAGCGTTTGAATCGGAATTCGTAGCTGTAGAAGTTGATGCCGCAGCAGCAGAAGCACTTGTATTAGTTTTTGAAGCTCCACCAGATTTGACCAAATGAATGGAATGCTCGTCTTGAATCTTGTAAAACTCTAAAACCTGATCATCTTTCAATATTTTACCGGAATAAATCAAACGCTGGTTTTCAACAGGGATTTCAGAGACTTTTGCAATTTCCTCTTTCAACTGTAAAACAGTATTCGAGACATCCACTGTGACTTCCCACTTGTTCTGTCCAGACTTAATATGAATCTTAATACCCATTCTTCTATATTTAAAGCTATAGTCTTTTTAATGTAAAAATAAAATGATCAAAGTCAACACACCAGATACTGTAATGAAACCTAATATAACAAATACAAGTAAACGTATAGAATAATTCTATAATCTACAAATCAAAATCTGAGTTGAGAAAGGGGACCAGAATATTACTAATAATACAAAAAACAAAAAATTCCTTGTTCACCGAAATTAAAGTTATGCCAAAGGGAGATCAGAACCAATAAAACTGATATACTGTAACCTAAACACCAATGAGCTGCACTGTCCTCCTAATTCGACGACTATTAGTAAACTGATCTCATCATAACTTGTAAAGGTTCTTTTAAATCGTTTATTACCTTTCAGAGTGGTCTGGTCTCATTTGGATTTGATCGTTTTGGTAGTAGAGATCGCGATATTTGGACAAATTCAAAAATTAACTATGTCGTTGAACATGATGTATGGTAGGACCATGGATACTTAAGCTATAAGCAGAGGGTCTCTGTGAGTTTGGGCATATTGGGAATACACGTACACCATAGACATATACATACACTTAATGGTGATCAGTGACATATATTAGACACGTTTTTTTGTCTTTATTCTGACCATATCTAAGATACATCTAACGTTAACATTAACGTTACGATAGTGCTATTTGATGTGAAGGAGTGGGTGGGGGAATGATATACTGGTGATAGCGCCGACTGATCACATGTCAACCTGGTAAGGTTCCAGATATTGATTACCGTATTGGGACATGTTTCGTAATCAAGTTGTACTGAACCTGGCAATAATCAAACGAATCCAAGCCAACCCATCAGATTTCTAATACTTGAATACTATAAGAACAGGAATCTATTTATGAATTGGAGCCATTGGGTTGGTTTCCTCTGTTTCCTCTGTTTCAGCGCTCAGATCTATGAAAACTAGCCTATTTCTCCAATATGGTATCCATCTCTACACTGACGGTATCACTATACATCTCAGCTTCCTATGTTGTGGCAGTCTATCTCAGTTCCAGAGGAACTGACGACTATAGAGCCAAGAGGGATGATCCCAGAGTTATTAAGATGCGTATGAAGAGTGTCCTGACAATGATGGTATTCAATGTAATCATACTTCCGTTCTTATGGCAAGGGTTTGTTCATAACAACAATAAGTGCAAAAATCCGTGGTTTCAATTGGAACTAAACTGGGGGTTCGTACCCGGGCCTTTCCTTGGAATGGCAGTTGAACCCTGTTGGAAATACATGGGAAACTTTGCCAAGGCCGGTCTAACGGATTGGTTGTGTAAATATACGGCCCTTTATAAAATTTCCTAAGGGCCCAATATTCTCCCCAAGGGAAAAAATTTTTCGCTTTAAGAGAAAAAAGAAACTCCGGATAATGTGGGG